GACTTTACGATTATGTTTTATGAAACGTTTTACGAGATAACATGCTTACTAAGGCTAGTTTGAATTATTACTATTTTTCCTATAACCCATGTTCTTATAGCATATCTGATGGATGACGATATGAGATTTAGAACATGTTTAGAACACCTCTTTATAGTATAGATGATGGATGACTTTATACTATGAAGTTGATTTTCAATATATGTATGTTCACTGGTTTTGTACTTACCTAGTGGTCCTTTCCGCTACGGGACGTAGGGATAGATCCGGTCCGTCCCGGGCGACGGTTTGATGTTGGCATAGGGCCTGAAGTGTGTTTTCCTCTGACTGTCTGCTCAGAGACGGGGAGCCGGCAAGGGGCCTGAAGTGCATTTTCCTCTGACTGTGTGCTCAGAGACGGGGAGCCGGCATGGGGCCTGAAGTGTTATATTGGACATTCACTAGTGATTATTATTTTATGCGATTGATGATTTGAGACACTGCACGACATGTTAGATTAAGGAACAATCTATATTTCTCATTATATATGTGTTTTCATAAAACCTGGGGGTTAGTACGTTGATAACTATTTTATTATATATATTTATCAACTTGGTCCACTCATGTTTGTTTTGCGCCCCCTTCAGGACTTAGAATCGAGGCATACAATCCCGACGTCCAGGCACTTCCGCATCGGCATCTTCGAGTCCTCTCGGTGTGGGACCCACTCTTTTATTTCATTCAATTTTATATTATTTTCTTTTAGTATTCTAGATTAGAGGTGTGCTCTGAACACGGTCCGTATTTGCATATTAATTATTCTTTTATATTTATAAACCTTATTTATCCTTTGTTTTCAGCATTTGCACTTGATAAATGGCTTTCGTCACCCTCGGGTGTCGGCCAGCACGTGCCTACCCTGATATTTGGGGAATATCGGGGTCGGGGCGTGTCATAATCTTTCATTTGTTGTTAACCTTGTCTGCCAATTCATGCATTCTCCAAGAGATCAACATCTTCAAGTTGTCAAACGAATACTGAGATATCTCAAAGGTTCTTTTGGTCATGGTTTATGGTTTCCAAAGGTTTCATCCTCTCTTACACTCAAAGCCTTTTCTAATGTTGACTAGGCTGATTGCTCTTGGGATAGACGATCAACTGGGGTTTCTGTATCTTTCTTGGCCCTTCACTTTAGCTAGAGTGTAAAGAAGCAACACACTGTTGACCGTTCATCCACAGAAGCTGAATATAGGTCTTTAGCTCATACAACTGCCAAAATCACTTGGATATGTCAATTGTTTACTGATATTGGTTTTCAGTTATCTGGATTACCTCAATATTTAGAATGTTTGATGAGATACTCAGAAACGGATTGAAACCTGATGAATCTACATTTTCTGCTCTCCTTTGTGCATGCTGCCATGAAGGCCTTGTCGAAGATGGCCACAAAGTTTTCAGAAGAATGAAAGATGAGTTTGGCATTCAAGCTAGAACGGAGCATTATGTTCATATGGTGAAACTTATTGGGATGGAAGGAACGTTGGAAGAGGCTTACTATCTAATCTTGTCCTTATCTGAACCAGTGGACAGTGGCATATGGGGAGCCCTTTTATTGTGCTGTGATGTCTCTGGAAATTCTGAGCTGGCAGAAATTGTAGCCCAAAGGCTCTTTGAAAGTAGCTCTGGGAAAAGTGCTTACAGAGTCATGCTCTCTAATATATCTGCTGGTGAATTTTTGTTTTCAACTACACGGCGAAATGACAAACAAGCTTCCAAGTTTATCTTTTCCAAAATATACAAGAACAGATAAGAGAAGAATCCCACCCGTGCAAATGAATTATTGAGCTTGGAATAAATGATGGAACATAAGTTCAATGAAATTTTAAGTGTTAAAAGTACACTTTTTCACCTTAGCCACCATGTAAGACAGATAAGCCATTAGAACCACTACGGAAATCTCGCGGATGCTTGAAATAAAATAAGATTTGTACAGGTACCATCTGATATTTCATTTCCTACGACATCTATCACAAATGTCTTTGCCCTGAGGGATCTGTGAATATGATACTAACCTTCCGAAGCATAAGGTTTTAAGGGCATATGCTGCCACAAGTCCAAACTGAAAATAAAACACGAAACCAATTTGAGGCCACAGATAAGTGAGCTTAGTATTCTGAATAATACTTGAGCGATATTATATCACCATTATCGGTCCCATGGTAAACTTACTGCAATTCCGAGAGCAGTGATTGTAAAGAATAAGTGTAGGAAATCTCCAACGACACGAAGTTCAGTCGTGCCCTTAAGCTTACTAACGTCAATCTTTTGAACTGCATTGAACAAGACAACTGATGTCGCATCAATCAACACTCCTTCCCCAAGGACTAGGCTGTACATTAAAGGAGTTTCATCTTGATGAAGAATCTACATAAAGTGGATATAATATCTCAGCAAATCCAAGTACAGGAGCGGCTTGCCCAAGTTTAATGAAAAAGAAAATCAAGCATTTGATACAGTGAAGGATTCAGGAAATAATATTAACAAATTTTTTTTTATCATAAATAGTATGCATATCGCTATTTTATCGAATCTTGACAGATCCAGAAAATAATATAATCCTATTAATATTTAAAAATTTAAACATTTGATGCCCACCCAAAAAACCAAGACCCTACTCTCTCTCTCTCTCTGATTTTTTTTTTTTTTTTTTTTTTTTTGAACTAAAAAATCTTCATTGATGGAATTGGAAGCTCTGATTGGAATTACAAATTCAACAAGAAAATTCCTCGGATCATAAAAGGTTTTAAAAGCTGATTGGACAGAAGCTGCCCTGCAAAGAAAGTTGAGGTTCATCACCATGCAAGTTCATCCTTCCATCAATGCAGGACTCATTCTCAATACGTACCCTCTCGTATGATAAGTTTTTAAGCTTAACATGTGAACAATAAAACGGAGTGAGTGGATCCCAGAATTTTATGTATCTGGAACACAAGGAGAAAAAATAATTAATATCTGGAACACAAGGAGAAAAAATAATTAAGTGGACATTAAAAATTTTAATTCTCTCTCTAGGGATGATGCAAAGAAGTTGAGGGATTATATTTATATAACAGAAGGCAAACTGAAGAAAGTGCCCGGGCTCAAGTGGATTAAGGCCTGGTTTGATACTGAGGTGATTCTAAAAAAAGCTGGTATCAAAAAAAGCTGGGAGCTGTTTTTGTGTTTGGTAAACATTCAGCTTCAGCTTTTTTTCACAGTTTTGGGTGAAAAAAAAAGCCAAAAACAAGAAGCTGCAAAAGCCAGCTTTGAAAAACCGGCTTTTTTTCATATATGTTCTACATAAAAGTTTACCAAACACTATAATACTGTTTTCTTTTTTTCAAAAGCACTTTTACAAAAAAGTTTACCAAATACTCTACTGCTTTATTTCATAGCTGCTTATTCTCACAGCACAGCAGAATCAACTTTTTTTAAAGCACATCAATACCAAACCAATCCTAAAGGTAGTGAAATCCTTGTAGTAGGATTTTAAAATCAGTGACAAAACAAGCAATCTGTACTAGGAACCGTAGATTTTTTTTTTTTTTTTTTTTTTTTTTTTTAAATTATGGAAATCTCAAAAGGCTATTACTTTCTGTGTTAATCGAACGCTATAATTCATCACAAAAATAAAAATCGAACGCTACAAAATCTCGGATCGGTTTTGCTTGTACAATCAACTTCTCCGTTCGCTTCGAAGTTTTTGTTTTATTCCTTGTCTCCTTCGATGGTTTTTGAACTAGCCATATAGTGCTCTACAAATGTGTTTTGCATAGAAGAAAAAGATAGCTATATTGTACAATCAACGAGAATGTGACGACCCAAATTATTATTTTCTTAATTAGTTGCAATACCAAAACAATAGGAAAATTTACAAAGCTATTGTGTGATGAGTCCATATTATATCATATATTTTAGTATTAATTTATTACTTATTTTGGTAAAATTTTGATATTTTGCTTTATATTTTCAAAATAGGATATTCGACTTCCTCTAGAGCAAAAAGTATTCAAATAGATGAATTTTGGAGTGATTCCAATTGAAAGATATTCGTGTGCCTTTCAAGATGATTGTATCAAAATTCCAGATTTTTCTACCAAGCCATTTGACCGTGACGATGAAATAAAGGCCCAGCGCGCAACTTTCCCAGATTGACGTTTCTAGACGTTTTGGGTATTTTGGGGGAACGTCTGTGGAGAATTTAGCTAAACTTTTACAATTTGGTTTTCAAAACGTTTTCTTTTGTTTTCTTTACTTTACTAATTTCTTTAACCTTTTTAATTAAATTCGTTTTTATTATTTTTAAATTCAAAATCAACTTTTTACAATACTTGTTTTTAAATAATTAACTAAGAATTTGATTTTGCATAAATTATTCATTCAATCCCTGCGAAAAACAATATTACTTGAGCTGTTTATACTACAACTACCTTGTTCTCTTGTAAGTATTTTTAAGTGTTTTTATCTCTACTTTTGCAGGTGGTAAAACCTCTATCAAGAAATTAGTGCCGTCACCAGGGATTGTTTTAAATAATTTGTGTTTATCAACTCGTTAATTATTTTGTATATATCTTTTCATTTACTTGATTTTAATTTATTTTTTTATTTGTTTTGGAAAACTAATGAAAATGACTTAAAAACTTTAAGTTTTAATGATAAAGACAAAATAAAAGGTAAAATAAATAGTACTAGAATTGACTTTTTAGTGTAAAAATATGATTTTTCGTTAAAATGAATAGTACTGTGAGTTTTTCGTTAAAACTTCCTTTTTTTTTTTTTTTTTTTTTTTTTAGTTTCAATTTGTGCAACAATGAAATTTGTTCCTTCTCCTGAATTCAATATACAACCAGGAAGACTGCCCTTATGGGTCAACTCTGCAGAATGGGGTTTTTATGGATTTAAACCTACAATTTGAGCACTTTGCTGTTTGAAGACCCATAATATTTTACAATGTCCTCCGAAGGAATATTTTCCAGATTATGTCCAGGAGCATATCAATATGAGAAACAACTCAAAGAAATTGGAACAATCCATATTCAGAGCTCTACACCCCAAGTTTGCAAAAGCATCTTGAACACTATTTTGGGCAGTTTAATGTGTCACAGGAGCTTCCGGTAGAGGACAAACTCTGTAAATTGTTGGAATTATCTGAATTGTACATTGAAATAACCAATCAAGGATTTCTGATTCAAGCATTAAACTGTGGGACAAGCTATGATGATCGAGAGGTTTGTGTAGGAACTGAGGAGCCATCTGCCCGTTATTCACGTCCAGGGGAGAGAGCAGCACATGCTGATCCTATAATCCCACCAGAACCGAGTCCTACCCATGTTTATGTGCCACCAAGACCTTTCCCACACAGCCTGCAGGAAGACACGAGTGTTAACATGTTAGGGGAGGTTCACACAAATTTAACATCCAATATGTCGCATGATCAGCTCTCAAACACATTGATCGATTTGGATACAGGGCAGATGACTACTGATACAATTTATGTTGCTGAATTGGACGGTCCAGCAGTATAAGCATTCAAATTTAAAGAAAATCTAGGCGAGTCCTACGAGCAAGCTAAGATCTACAAGGGAAGGAAGAAAAAGCTTAGTGGCAGCCCAATTCTTCGTCACAAAACTCGGCCAATGCAAAAGTTGTGGGTGTTAAATACTAGATTGAAGCCAGTTCAAGGGAGACACAAGACTCGCTAGAGGGGACTTTATTTGGTTTCAAAGACTAATTCACACAAAAGGGTGGACAAGAAAGATTCAACCAATGAATTCAAATGCACAGTTCAAGTCAATCCCCACCTACTATTGCTCTATCATGCGGTAAAGGCATGGTTGACTCTAAAGGAGCAAGTGACGTGATCACCAACCTCATTCAAATACGTCTAGCTATAGACGTTAACGAATATGCTAATTGGCAGGCAACCCAATTTTTCTAAACTCTTTTCTTTTTATTTTCTTCCTTCTAGTCTTTATCACAAAACAAAATCAAAACAAAAAAAACAAAAAAAACAAAAACAAAACAAAACAAAAAAACAAAAGAACAAAAAAAATCAGACAATTGAAAAACACAAAAACAGCAATTGTTTTTAGTTAATCAGTATTTTTATTTTGGGTTTTATTCTAATTAGATTTTTAATGTGTGATCTTTGCAGGTTGCATTCATTCACCCCAGCACATTCATCATCCATTCTTCTACATTCATGGGATTAGGCAGTGCCGATACGGGAAAAAAAAAAATAAAAAATTGAGTTGAGATTCAGCAATGCGTACAGTGGGGTTTGCTTGGAAGCTTCTACATTACTTGGATCCACTTACTTCACAGTCTCTCCCATGAACACGGTTCTACAATCGGCGATCCAAGTGTGCAGAAGGGTCCGCATATCGCAGATCAAATTTCATGCAAAATTTTGCTCAACATTCATCATCAGGAAACATGCACAAACACAAAGGAAAATTACGAGCATGCAGAGATCATATTCATACACGGATACACAGGCCCAAATCATACAGTTCATTATGTTCAGCAATTTAAAACCAACATACGCATATAGCACATTCACAGATCAAGCTGGTTCCCGCTCGAATGTAAAACAAAAAAGGGGCATACATACACCTTATAATCTCGGATCCGCAGGTCTTTCATATCTCCGCTCCCAATTTTGACCGTTGAATCTATGATTTTCCGTCATTCCTTCATTTTTCACGTTCTCTTCCTTTACCAAACGAGGTTCCTACCACATGACACAAACATGCAAGAGATTAGTATCGATTTTACTCTGATTCTAAGTCACAAGAAGATATTGAGAAGAAATGGCGTCGGAATGGTAAAGGAAATCTGCTGAGAAGATGAACGAAGATGAGAGAACAGGGGCTGGGGAGGAGTCGATATTAAGTTTGGGCGTTGTGGCTCGGATCTGGGAGTTCTAGAGAGAAAGCTTGGTTTTGACTGCAGCAACCAAGGTTTTTATGCAAGGAAGAGCAATGAAAGAAAATGGGTGGAGGAGCGTTTGGTTCTGGGCTCGAGGTGACAAGTGCAGACATCGGAAGGGAATCCAAAGTTTTTCACAAGCCCGTGCGCGTGTGAGGTGTACGGATGCATTCCGTGTGTCTCCATTTCTTTTGTTTTCTTCTTGGACCTTTGAGTTGGAGGATTGGGTTCAAACCCAAACGTTTTTCAATGGGCCTTCGTGTCATCTTTCCTCTGCCCAACGCTTGTCCTGCACAATGGTTTCAAATTCCAACCCAAGATGCTAAGTCTATCATTTTATTGTTTGTTTTGCTTGTCTTTTGTTTTATTTTCTATTTTCTTTTTCGTTTTTCTATTTCTTGATATTTAAGGAGATTATTTATTTTTATTTTGTTATGTTAGTTTATTTTTTTCATTTTCTTTTATTTTTCACACCTTGAGGACAGTGTGTGATTTAAGTTTGGGGGTGGGAATTAGAATTTTTAATTTTTATTTTTGAAGAACCATGGAGTCTAGGGTTTCTAATCTCGAATCCAATATCGATGAATTCCAAGCGACACAGGAAAAATTCAGCATTTCACAAGAGGAATTTAAGTCAACACAATATTTGATTCTTCATCAGCTTCAATCCCTTATGGCGCTGCAATGGTTGTTCGATAGAAGAATCTTTCGAAGCGACTCTCGGCGACAATCAATTTCGTGACAAAATGAATGCGAATGTCAATCACCAAGATTTGGGGCAAAATTACAACCAGCAGCCAAGACAACCATTCTTGAAGATGGAATTTCCAAGATTCATGGAGGGTGATGATCCATTGGGATGGATTTACAAGGCAGAACACTACTTTGAATTTTTCAACATTAACGATTCGAGGAAAGTGAAACTGGCATCATTCCACATGGAAGGCGAAGCATTACAATGTTTTTAGTGGGCAATGTGTTTGGAGAATTATCCTTGGTGGGAACAATTCTCGAAAATTTTATGTCAAGAATTTGGACCATCGAAATGGGAAGACACAGCTGAAAGCTTAGTGAAACTAAGACAAACTGGAACTTTACGCGACTATGTGATCGAATTCAGGCGATTAGCTAATCGAACGAGAGAAATTAGTCCAACTCTTCTCAAATCTTGCTTTATTGGGGGTTTGAAACCAGAATTCAGACACGATGTTAAGATCTTGAAGCCTAAAGATGTATTGGAAGCTTCAGCCATTGCGCAGTAGTTGGATGCCAAATGATCAAACTTAAAGGTGAAATCTTTCTCTAAGAATTCTGCAATTCAATCCACTTTTCATTCACCTTTACAAACGTTGAATTCCAATGCTATGCCTGAGAATAAACCTAGAGTTCCTAGTGTGAGAAGATTAACTCCTGATGAGGTAGATTTCTATAGGAAAAATGGTTTATGTTTTCACTGCAAGGAGAAATACTTTAAGGGGCATACTTGTGATAAGAAACAGCTGCTTTTGATTGATGTCCAAGATTTTGATTCTTGTGTTAGTGAAGATTTGGATAATGAAGAGTTAGAAATCACAACTTGTGCATTATTTGGAATACCTGCACCACCAACCATTAAAAATATGAAGGTCAATGGGTTTATCAAGAACTATCCTATTACTATTCTTATTGATTCTGGAACTTCCCATCACTTTGTAGATTTTGGTTTGGTCAAAAGGGTGAAGGGACACAGGGCATACTTTTAATGTGAAAATAGCTGATTAGGGTAAGGTTTCGACTCATGGTACATTGACTCAGATTTCAATGAAGATTCAAAACTATACTTGTATCGCAGACTTGTATGCCATTCACTTGGGAGGTTGTGATGTTGTGCTTGGAGTACAGTGGTTGAGAACCTTGGGTCCAATTCTCTAGGACTTTGAAAAACTGTATATGAAGTTCCAAAAAAGGGCAATGATGTGATATCATGTCCCCAAAATTATTATTTATTTTATTTTTGATGTATTACGAAGATTTAATTAAAGTTAGTTCGTTAATTCTCCGATTTTGAGAAAAGCAAAGTGAGGGTTACTTTAGTTATTTTACATTTTCTCGACCTTTTCGGTCAACTCTTGAGTTGTTTAGGTAGAGTTTAATTCCATGAGCATGAACGCGCAAATGGATCTTAATTCCAAGTTAGAACGGAGAAGTTACGAATCTCGGAAGTAGTGGGACCTTTTAGACATGTGTACTTACTATTTGTAGTAAGTTTCCAAACCTAATCTACCCAAATTAGCAGGTTTCCATTTCAGGAACCCTGATCCAAAGCCCAGAAACCCACCCAAATTGACCCCCACGACCTCCCATTTTCCGACGCCGATTTCGGCCAACTCCGGTGGTATTTTTCGACGCCACCATCACCATCTTGAAGTTCTCACTCCTCTCTACAAAATCCAACTAAGATCCACCTTGATTAACCACCGAATGTGGCCGTGCAAGGCCACAAAAACCTACGAAAATCAACAGTGCTCCGGCCATCCTTTTCATTTTTCTGGCAAATCGGCAAAGTGATGGCCTACTCCACCACTTGAAACTTGTAGCCCATCATCCCAAGAGTAAATCCCGACCATCCTTGACCCCGTTGGACCACCGTAGGCGACAAATCAACACCGGGAAGCTTTAAGCACACCCCAGCTTTATTGGGAAAATTGACCCTCTTTCGTCCACTTTTGGACTTCATGGCAGGTATAAAAGTTGTTCCTCTTGTTGAGTTCTATCTTCCTGTAAATTTTGGTAGAATTTGGAGTTAGTCAAAAAAATAAGTTTCTGGTCGCCAGAAACCATCACTCGCGGTGGCGCGTGGGAATAATCAAAATTTATGGATTTTGGACAGCAAGACGTTCTCAATGTCCTGAGCCCATATCCAAAGTCCGTTCATTGAAATTTGATACAATGGTTCAATTATTCAATTTTTCGGATAATTGTACCACCGTACGATTTTCGTAATTGACGACAATCTAACCGTTGGATCGTCATGCCATTTTATGAGCACCCTAGTTATTAGTTTTTGGACCTTTGAGAACCTACAGATCGGAAATCCTATGTGCAGATCTTGCAAATTGAATAACCTAGGTTTATTAACCTTTAGTCGACCTACCTTATCAACGGTTGATGCTCTAGTCAACGTTCTCTATTCTAGAGTGTCGTTTATTTTTAGAATGTTATTGAGGCTTGATGGAGCTTAGTTGACTTATCTTGAGGATGTGTCGTTCTCCGTTGACGTGCGTCTCAACTTACGTGCAAGTGGCACTTGCCTCATTTTACGTGTCGGTTTTGTTAAGTTTCCTAAGTGGGATTTGTGTGTTGTATTAGGTCCCTTGAGGTGAAGTTAGTGAATCTAGAAGTGCAAATAACCCAGGTGAGTGACACTAATGTTATATGATATGGTTATTACCCATGAAAATCCTTATTATATATTATGTGGATATGACATGGATTTCCAAATGATTATATAGAATTGTGTGCTACTATGCTATGTTTGCTTGATGGTGCTATCGGAAATGTATGTATATGCTATGCATGAAATGATTGTGAGGGCTAATAGAGGACCACCAACCCAGTCCATGGGGTAATGTGGGATAAAATCAGAATCTGCCCCATGTAGCAATGGTACATGGATGGTCCTGCTTGGTTAATCGGTAATGGGGGACCATACTTTAGGATCATGCTTGGTTAGTCTGCGATGGGTGATCCTTGTTACTTAAGTATGGCCATACATACATATTTAGGGGTGATCATGCTTGGTTAATCCGTGATGGGTGATCACTACCTATAGTATTCGTAGGAGTGACTCTGCTTCCCTAATGTGGGCTTTGGCCGAACTATGTCTCTCTATAGCCCTTGTGTGGCTCAATCTAGAAAGTGATGATTGAATGAAATAATTTACATGATGGTTTTGCCTAAAAGATAACGGATTCAACTGTGACTCATTCCTACTCGTAATGAAGAGATGCAATGAGGAAAAGATATCAATCTCATTCCTACACGTGATTGTATTATTGATGTTGTGTCATTCCTACATAACTTCGGGTTATGTGATGATTAAGAATGTTATTGGAAGACGTGTGGTGAGATTGAGAATTGAATAACCATTCCTATACGTAATAATGAGGCGTATAGTGGTTATATTATGAAATATGTGGCAATTGGACCCTTGTGAATATTTGGAAAATGATGAAAGGCAAGTGGTGAGTCACAATTCGAAGAGAATGATGGAATGATATTGACGGTGATGATATTGGCAGTGGATACGATATATAGAAGAAATATCCTGTGTGGACATAGCACTACTTTGACATTTAATCATTTGTTTTTATTTATATTTACATATGTTGTATTATTGTCACTCACACGAGCTTCGTAGCTTATCCGGGTTTTGATTTACCCGGTGCGCCATTCCCACGGCGTAGGGTTATTTTGCATAGTAATGGGTGTAGCGATTAGAGAAGAGATTTCACGTGGTGTAGCTATGAGAGCAATGCACTTGAGAGTAGGTATTTCCATCATTTGTTGTAAGTTATTCTGCTGATGCTCTGATGTATACTATATGTATGAGTCTTAGCGACTCTATGTATTTTATATTGTACTGTTACAGTCCTTCTGTCGCGCGTCGATTCCAGGTGTTTCTCGGGATCAGGGCGTGACAAGTGACTTATTGCATTGCTAGTCCAGAGGCACCATCCAAGCAACTGGAAAATATATCAGCCTTGCAAATGAGTAAACTGTTGCAGCAAGAAACCACTATAAGAGTAGTTTTATGTCATATTGCAGCAGAAAAAGTCAATACCTAACAAATGAATCCTACAATGGTGACTGCTAACTCGGATAATTTGTACATGGATCAACTTCAGCAATTACATCAAATTTTGAAGGAATATGAAGCTATCTTTGCCACTCTAAGTAGTTCACCCCCTCACAGAATTCAAGATCACAGGATCCCATTAATTGAAGGTAGTAAGCCACTTAATAGTAGGCCCTATGGATATGGTCTAGTGTAGAAAAGTGAGATAAAGAAATGTGTTAAAGAGTTACTACAAGCTAGGTTTATTAGAGTTAGCAATAGCCCCTATTCTTTTCTAGTTATATTCTTACGGAATAAAGAAGGAACATGGTGCATGTGCATGGATTATAGAGGCCTCAATGACATCACTGTTAAGGACAAATTTCCAATTCCTCTTATGGATGAATTATTAGATGAATTGTTTGGTGCACATTTTTTTTTCCAAATTAGATATGAGAGCTGGTTATCATCAAATCCGAATGCACCCTAGCTTTTCAAACACAGGACGGGCACTATGAATTCTTGGTGATGCCATTTGGCTTAACTAATGCCCTGGCCACATTTTAGTGCTTTATGAATGAGCTTTTTAGACCATATCTCAGGAAGTTCATCCTAGTTTTCTTTGATGACATTTTGCTGTATAGTTCTTCTTGGTCTCTCCATTTGTCTCATTTGAAGACAGTATTTGATACATTGAAGAAGCTTATATGTCAAACAATCAAAGTGTGCATTTGGCAAGTTTCAGATAGAATATTTGGGACATATTGTTTCCAAGGAAGGTGTTGCTGCAGATCCTAGCAAATTAGAAGCCATTGCTAAGTGGCCTATTCCAACATCTGTTAAAGCTTTGAGAGGGTTCCTTGGGTTAACTGGTTACTACATGAAGTTTATTCCTAATTTTGGTAAGATCACTGGGCCTTTGACTGCATTAACCAAGAAAGACAACTTTTCTTGGACCCAAGATGCTACTGATGCCTTTCACACTTTGAAACAAGCCATGCTCACTCCTCAAGTGCTTACATTACCAAATTTCACTAAGCCTTTCATTATTGAAAGTGATGCATCTAGTACAGGTATTGGTGCAGTGCTTCAATAAAGAAGGGAGACCAATTGCTTTTACTAGCAAGGCTTTGTGCCCAAGAAATCAATCATTGTATGCCTACGAAAAAGAAATGCTTGCCATTATCCATGCTATTCACAAATGGCAATCATATTTAGTGGGGAATCATTTTATCATACAAACAGACCACCATAGTTTGAAGTATTTCCTTCAAGGAAGAGCACATACACCGTTTCAGCAGAAGTAGGTAACTAAGCTATTAGGATTTGATTATGAAATCCAGTTCAAACAGGGAAAGGACAACCAAGTTGCTGATGCTCTATTTAGGTCTCCTCTCAACACTAGTTCTTCATCTCTACAATTGTTGGAAGAAGTTCAGTTGAATGCAATTTTATATCCATACTCTGCATGGATAAATGATCTTCACAAGCATAATGAGGTGGATCCTTGGGTGATTACTAAAAGGCAATTGATTTGTTCAATGGACGATGATGCAGTTCCTACTGCAAATTATAAATTTCAATTTGATAATGGTTTTTTGAAGTATAAAGGCAGAATTGTGCTAAGCTCCATTAGCTTCTTAAAGGGAAAGAATCTTCAATGAGCATCACTCAAGCCTAACTGCAGGCCATAAAGGGTTTTTAAAGACATATAAAAGGATCACTAGGTCATTTTATTGGGAGGGAATGAAGAAGGATATCAAGGAGAGAGTTGCAACTTGCTCAGTTTGCCAAAGGAATAAATATGAGACATTATCGCCTCCAGGTTTATTACAACCCTTACCAATTCCATCTAAGGCATGGGTAGATGTCTCCAATGTTTTAAAAAATAGGCTACGTGTCGGCAATGGTATTAGGCGACCGACTAGGCAGGTTAGGCGGCCTCAGCGGCCAACTAGACGGTTTTGTTAAAAAATGTATATACATATCGTTGTTTCACAGCATCACCTAAAAGAGGAAGCGTTCACATAATGTTGAAGAAAGAGAGTGAGAGAGCATGAGGTAAGAGAGAGCGATGTTGAATTAGAATAATAGATCTGTAATTGCAGGGATAAACAAGAAATTGACCTGGACAATTAGGATTTCTTTGATCAAGCATGCAATTTTCTTCGATGCGCTTGAGGTTTTGGGAAATTTTACAAATGAAAAAGAAGATGGGTGGAGCAGGGAAATTTTACAAAGGAAGAAGAAGATGGGCAGAGCAATCGAAGACAAGGAAGAGGAAACGGAAAAGATAAGGGCTTTCACGTTTTCCAAGGCCTCAATAACCCATCCCCTCTCTTTGACCGGTGTCCACTACTTTATACTATTAATTATCCACCTTTAGTCTCCAATTAATTACTCACTACCAACTTATAATTATAATAAAATAAAATAAAAATAGTTACCCTCTCCATTAGTAAATATGTTGTATATGGGTAATGTTAGTTTTGTTAGAGAGACTAAATCTTATCTATGGATTTCATACAAGTATAATTTTTTGTAAATATTAATATGCACTTATTTACAAGATATACAAGAAAATTACCTAAATCTGCCTAGGCCGCTTAGGCACCCGCCTAGATCCTGCCTAGCTGCCTAGGCGCTAGACGCCAGCCGCCGCCCGACTAGCGCCTAGCATTTTTAGAACCTTGGACATCTCTATGGACTTTATTGTTGGATTGCCTCCTTACAAGGGAAAGTCAATAATATGGGTAGTTGTTGACAGGTTTTGCGAAATATGCTCATTTTGTGGCATTATCACATCCATACTTTGCATCAATTGTGGCTCAATACGTCATTGATCACATCTTTAAACTGCATGGTATGCCACGATTGATAATCAGTGACAGGGATCCAGTTTTCCTGAGCAAATTCTGGAAGGAATTTTTTCAACATCAAGGCTCTGCATTATGTTTCAATTCAGGTTATCATCCTCAAATAGATGGCCAAACTGAAGTCCTTAATTGATGTCTCGAGACCTACCTCAGGTGTTTCTGTAGCTTACAACCTAAGAAATGGGCATTATGGCTTCCTTGGGCTGAGTATAGCTACAATACAAGCTTTCATACTTCCACTAAGATTTATGAGATATTATATGGTTAAGCCCCACCAGCCATTATTGCATATGAGAGTGGTACTACTAAGGTGGACTCTTTGGATCAAGCTCTAAGAGAAAGAAATAGAATTTTATCCTTGTTGAAATCTAATCTGGAAGCTGCTCAATGTAGGATGAAGGTCCAAGCTAACAAGTATAGAACCGAGAGGGAATTTGTAGTAGGTGATTGGGTTTATTTGAGGTTGATTTCGTACCAAACCAAATCCTTGGCTTCACATTCCTTCCATAAACTACAACCCAGGTTCTACGATCCTTTTCAAATCATCTCTAAGCTTGGAGCTGTGGTTTATAAGCTCCAACTTCCACCAAACACTAAACTGCATCCTGTGTTCCATGTTTCTTGCTTGAAAAAGCATTTGGGACCACAAACTCAGACCCCAGTGCCCTTGCCAGTCATTACAGATGCAGGAATTTTGCAAGATGCACCAGTTGCAATCTTGGATGGAAGACTGATCAAGAAGGGCAATACAGCAGCTACAGAAGTCCTAGTCCAATGGCAGAACCACTCCAAAGATGATGCTACATGGGAACCTTACCATGAATTGGAGCTTAAATTTCCAGAAATTGTGAATCTTTGATGAGTTGTGTTGATTGTGATGTTTACTGGTTTTACTGGTTTCCCTTGTTGATTTTACTGGAATCTTGTTCAATTGTCAATTTTTGCAAGAATAGTTTTAAGGGGGGGTATTGTTACATGTGTATAAGGTTGTTAGTAGTTAGTTGCTTGTTAGTAGAATAAATAACAGATTTGTAGAGGATGGAAAGTTAATGAAAAAGTTGTTGTATTTCTGTTGTTACTCTCTGTGCAATTAGGAAGAAGTGGAGAAGGGTTTAACAATCATACAACTTAGAAAGGGTTCAAGGCATTCATCAAGTAGTCGTTGCATATAATAGAAAACATAAACTTCTTTCATAGCTTGATAAACAGCGAAATGTGTGCAGAAACACAGTTTATTTGAATCCTTGTAACTTTATTTCTTTCACTCACATTGGCTCCCCTCTCTCTTGGCTTGAGCATATTCTTTCACCATCGAGTTAGTCATAATTGTTACCTCTGGAATGCGCCTAATTTTGTAGTTTTCCTCTCCGCCATCAGGTTTCAGCCGTTCTGCAAGATCATCCGACAAAGGCAACAAATCCAACAGCTCAAGGTTGGTGAGAAACTGCAGACCTTCAGGAAGAATCCGCAGACGCAAACAATTGCGCACATGGAGATATTTCAAGCTCAGTAGTGCTCCCTCTTCAATTTCTATCCACTCCTCAAGAACACGTGAAGCAATGGTTAGAACCTGTAGCTTTGGAAACCCACCAATGCAACAGAATTCTTTCCCTATTTTCTTAGCATCATAAGCATTCCAAAGGCTAAGATTTTCCAAGTTGGGTAGCTGTTGAAGCACCAATAATGAGTCCTCAGATATATGAGAGTTTCCTAATCTTAGATTTGTAAGCCTTTCCAAGGAACCGAACCAAGTAGGTAGCTTTCCTCCAACGCCTTCCAGGCGAAGCTTTTGGAGAAATGGTGGGGGAGAGAATGAATCCGGGAGGATAAGATTTCCCCCGCAGAAGGTCATAAGATTTCCCCAGCTGAAGGTGTCTTTTCCTTCTAGAGACAAGGAAAGGAGGTCTGACATCTTCGTTATAGAGGCAAGTAGCTCACTGATATTCTCTTCAGCAACATCCATCACTCCAAGTTTTCTGAGCCGTATTAGATTACCTAGATCTTCTGCAATTCCACCACCAGCATGTATACCTGTAAGGGTCAGAAGATCATTCAAGCTTCCTATTCCGGCAGGTAGCTTCATCCCATGAACATCTTGGAACATGCTCTTGAACATTTTGAGGTGCCTCAGCCTAACAAGACTGAGTACATCATTTGGCAAGGCGGTTAAATGTCTAGACCATCTGATATCAAAAGTTTGTAGAGCTTTTAATCTACCTAGCCCCTCTGGAAGCTCTTCTATATCAGTGTGGTTCAAGCCAAGATACAGGAGGTTTATCATGTCTCCCACTTCATCTGGTAACATTTTGATTTTGGTACGCTCCAGATCCAGCACTCTTAAAGAGTTTGCACCATTATACTGTAACCAGTTACCTTCATGTTGAGAAAGATTTTGCCCAAGAAGGAACAAAGAAGAAACTTGATGATTGTTCAAGTGGGATATGAGTTGTGTGATGTCTGAACAAATGAAAACCCGAAAGACTTTAAATTTACCTTCCTCCATTTGACAAACACAGAATTCTCGTACAGGGGAGGAGACCTGAAATCTTGTCCCTCTTGAGTCAGAGTGATGCTCCTTGAGTTGAAGCATTCCTAGACTGATCAATTCATATAAATTTTCTTCTGCCACATCCTCCATAATCCGCCCTGCTTTTTCTTGTACCAGTCCCTGGGCCACAAGTAACCGAATAAGTTTTCCTTTTGGAATCCCATGGTAGTCAGGGAGGATGGAGCAATACATTAAGCACTGCTGAAGATAATCCGGTAAGGTTCCATAGCAAGTTTCCAATGTAAGAGATGAAGAAGAACAAGATATCGCAACTTCTTCACTCTCTTCGGAGTTTCTATTTTCCTCCATCTCTCCTTCAGTGGTGTTTGAACTAGCCATTGAGTTCTACAAACTGTGTTTGCATATTCAGAAGAGAAAGATAGCAATATATAGGTGACAGATGCAAAGCATCCTAATTTCTTACTAATTTCTCAGAAGCTTCGAGGAGAGCAAACAAGGTGAGGGACAAAGCATATACGGATACCACAAGGCATATGCAGCATGACGGATACCACAAAGCATAGACAGCGTTTCAAACCAACTAGTTTGAAGAAACTTTCAGCCATGTTACTTGATGTGACTTTGAGATAGTAACAGATGCAAATTTGTGATGGTTGAGCTTTGCAAAATTAGATTTAAATATAAAGTGTATGAATAATATAAAATTAAACATGATTATAATGAATTTGGGACAAGGATGGAGAGGATAATGATAGTATGTACTGCCAAAAATACTCTCGCTATTTATTTATTTTTTATTAATTACTCTTGTTTTTTTATAGTATTATTAACTACTCTTGTTACTTTGTGCTTGGTTCATATGGAAATATAATGTGAACACCATTTTCTTCACATTAGACCATTTTCAAACTAGAATTGATGACTCACATCCATAAATTACATTTGGTTTGATTGGAAACAGTGAGGGCCCGTTCGGTTCAATGTGTTTTGCATACCCATGTTTGATGAATTAATATGGTCGTGAATTTTTAGAGCAGACAAGGGAGCGGCGACGGAGTAGTTTTAAAATGACATTGCAATGACATGAGGGCGATATGCCATATGTTATTGGAGAGAAAAAAAAATTTCTAATATCCCTCTACTTGTATAATGACATATGACGTATGTGCCCATGTTTCAACTAAACTGAAAAACCTATCGACCACAACCATGACAGTTAATTACCTTCCCAAATCACCACCTCCGCCACCGTTCAAGCATACTGCTACTCCCCTTGAGTAATGTCACATGGACCATTATATTAATGGCAAAGTATATGTATTTACTCTGTAACTGAGTGCCAATTCCATTTGGCTTTGCAGTCGTACAAGGCTACTAAGTCCATTTACCTCTGCAATTTTCACATGGAACTAAAAAGTCCGTATCAAGTTTCTTGAGCAAACTTTTTATATTTAGAAAGAAATAAAAAATACTCTTATAAAATCTGTAAAATGAGTTTTTTTTAAGCTCCAATAATAGCGGCTAAGCCCATTCCCTTCTCTTTTAGTATAAATAATATCGTTTATTTAAAAAAAACAAAATAGCATCCTAAATTTTATTCTAATAATGCCTCCGCCAAATTGCCTTTATCCTCAAAGATATGACCGTCGGGGGGACAGCTTCATACCTTGCCTTGTGTTGTTCCTCAGATTTTTGAAGAGAATATTCTAAAGATTGCAACTGAGCAATCATCTGCTGGAGACCCCGAAAGTCGCTAGGCAGGGAGAACTCCCATTTTTTGACAAAAATATCGGAACCCTTTTGTCAAATTTATGTTCCAAGGTTACCAATCTTTATCAAGAACCAAGCAAAAGCGAAATGTTCTTCCTGTCCATTTGCTTTACTAGAATCATTAGATTTTATGTCGTTATGGTGACTTCATTCTGCTTGTAAGTTAACCGAGGAAAAGTTCCCGCCGAAGCATCTAACTTTGGAATTCCTTGATTTGAAGCATTCCCTGGCTGATCAATTCTTATAAATTTTCTTCTGCCACATCCTCCATAAACCGCCCTAATTTTTCTTGTACCAGTCCTTGGGCCACAAGTAATCGAATAAGTTTGCCTTTCGGAATCCCACAGTGGCCGGAGAGGATGGAGCAATACATTATGCAGTGTTGAAGAAATCTGGTAAGCCTCCGTAACATGTTTGCAATGGAAGAGAGGAAGAAGAAGCGGACGCGTGTCTCAACTTCTTCGCAGTTACATTTTTTTTTTTTTTCAGTTTCTCATTCAGTGGTATTTGAAGTAGCCATAGAGCTCTGCAAATTGTATTTGCATATACAGAAGACAAAGATAGCAATATATATAGGTGTGGAAAATATGGAAGAGAATGCTTTTTCTCATTATTTTTCTCTACAAGATTACAAGGATATATATACATGATACAAGTGTGTAGGTAGGACAAGTTAGGACGGCTGTAGGACGGCTAGTGTGTAGGTAGGACGGCTGTAGGACGGCTAGTGTGTAGGTAGGACAAGGTAGGACGGCTGTAGGACGGCTTGACGGCTGTAGGACGGCGGCTGTAGGACGGCTTGACGGCTGTAGGACGGCTTGACGGCTGTAGGACGGCTTATTCTTCCAATAATAGGTGATAGATGCAAATCGTGCTAATTTCTACTAATTTCTCAGAAAGCTTCAAGGAGAGCAAACAAGTTGACGGATACTACAGAGCATATACATCGATCCAAACTGTTTTGATGAAACTTTCGGAGATGCCATGATGTAACGGATGCAAATTTGTGATGGTTGAGCTTTGTAAACTTAGATTTAATATAAAATTTTCTATACAATATAAGTTAAAACATGATTAATTAATTTGGGACAAGGATGGAGTAGGACAACAAAGAGCCCGTTCGTTCAATGTTTAGAAGTATGAGAATAGTAATCAAATTGAATACCCATGCATGTTTGGTAAGCACATTCTTAAAAATATGCTACATTTTTTGTTTTTTTTTTAACAAAAAACGATAGCAATTTTTCATTACTAAATCATAACAGTTACAGGGGTTGCTATATGAGTCCAATCTCTAGTAACCAAATATTTTATCTAAAGGTAATTTGCACAAACAAACAATAATAATAATTCTCTAATTAGCTACTACAAGCTCACACACACACTATCACAAGAATCTGCTACATCAGTACGAACTTCCCACATAGGAAGGAATTTCATACCCAACTCCCCTTTGAGAAATTAGTAGTCCCCTCCAAAGGATACCACTTAATGCATTGCCTGTTGACTAATTTACAATTTTTTGTAATTAACATACAATCTAATTCATACAAGGGTGTTCTTAGAAAACTAAACAAATGTTTGTTCCCATTACGATGTAAACTAAAACTTGGGTATGCAACATTTTCAAACACGAAAACAGATATTTTTCATTCTCATTTTTGGATGATAGACTTAATTCGACCCTGATAATTAAATGGCCTTCCTACCGACCTGCCTCCTATCTTAGGTTAGTTGGGCCCTTCAATTTGGGAGGAAAAACTGACCAAACAAAAAAATTTGGGACGAAAAACTGCCTTCTATTTAGGAGAGAGATTTTTGATATATATTGAATATGTAAAAAATAAGTCATCAAGAAAATTACCAAAAAAAAAAAAATTGGGGGCATGTGACTGCAAAACAAAGAATCAAAAAGATAGGAGTAAACATTACACATCAAAGTGAATACCTATCCTCACAGCGTTTGGGGCATCATATTTTTTCTACACGAAGCTTCATGCTATGAATTTTTGTTGGAGTTGACTCACATGCTAGGTTGAAAATACCATGGTTTGAAAGGGACTCTTCTAGTGTGATATCTTACTTTGCTTTTGGTTTTTTTTCTCCTCCTTGATTGCTCCGAACTCTCTAGAAAAATTGTCTTTCTTATTTGAAGTACATGGTTTCCGTTGCTCTCATATATTTCAGGAAGAAAAGCAATCCGACCCTAACAAAATAGCCAATTTATGACTGCTCTCATCTTCACTATTTTGGCATGGGGCTCCACCCTTAACCTACGTTGTTGTTGCTGCTGTTGTTTTCAAAAACAGTTTTGGATGAACAGGCCTCCCATGTTCCACAATAGTTTATAGAGATTCATGGTCATAGATCGATGAATTCCCTTTTGAATATAAATCTGCGATCATTTCAATAAGAGTGAACCAACCTTCTCTCACCAATCTAGTATCATCTTTACGATTCAAGTTTACCTAGCCCTTCAAGGACTTAAAAAATAAAAACCCTTCAACTCAAACTCTTCATATTCATGAGTAAAACTTAAATGTAATTGAGAGTATATTTCTTTTTTGTTATTATTTTTTAAGCAATTGTACGATATTTATTGATAATGAAATTAAATACATACAGATAAAAAAAAAGGCAAACACAATATATATATTGTTTCTCTTCATATTGATGCACCTTACACTGACTAAATTTATATTTTCCTTTAAATCCATCTCTTCCTTCTATCTTTGTCGACAGAATGTGCAAACCCTAGCTACATACCTTTTTTGGGGTGATAGCTACCTATTTGACCACAGCCATCATCATACAAATACCACCCTTTTCAGAGCTCTTCCAAAACTCCCCGTTGCTTCCGTTTCAGGTGAGCCTCACGGTCATAAATACTAAAGCTACTATTTGGGTTTTTGGTTCTTTCTTTATTTCTTTCAAATTTGAATTGCAATTAAACAGAGTATGTTTAATTTGATTAAACATATTGAATTTGTTCGTTCACAGTGTATGGTTGGGTTGTTTTGAGTGAAGGATAAAACTGAAATTCAGCTACTTTAGTTGAGAGAATTTGGCAATTTGGTCAAAAGTGGTGTTTTATTTTAATAATCGTTTTCAATTGGATTGAGCTTTAATATGAATAATCTTTTGAATTAGGGTATGTATTTGACTATATGATTTCATTGAGAATAAATCTCATATTGATGAGATGAGGCATTGTGCATGTGCTTATAAGTAGTTGGGCTACTCCCATATTGTAAATTGGTTTTATGGTAGAACCTCAACTTTTTTCATGGTATCAGAGCAGGTTGTCCCACGTATGAAATTCAACAATCACACGCACTCAGCGTTACCCTGCTGTGTTGTCCACGTGTTAGGCTTGAATCACATTAATGAGAGGATGAACCTTGCATGTGCTTATAAGTAGTTGAGCTACTTACCATATAGCCAATTACTTTTATGGTAGAATCTTAACTTTAAAAGAATTGGAAAGGGTTTATGGGCAGTCAGTATTTTCCTATCATAAAAGAAGCATATGTATAATGTTTAAACCTAATGTAAAAATCAACGAATGAGAGAACGAATTAAGCACTAGCCAGTAAGCTCTCCCTAATCATTATGGTTCCATTTTTAATTATTAATTATAATAACCAAAAAATAAAAAGGATCATGATAAGGAGATCAAAATTTTAAATCAAATTTGCAAACCAAATATTATATCATAAATAGGAAATAAGCACATTAATTAACACTCAATTAATAATTCAATCTCATTTGATTTACAAAATTTAATTTAAAATTTTGGTCTTCTAGCATTACCCGATAAAAATATTCCAGTTAGGTATTACACCCTCTCCATCAGTCCATTGGCCCCATGAGCCACATGCATGTTTGAATATCGAGAAACCGCGGCAGGCTTTCAAAACCGATTTTCACCCTTATAAAAAGGAACAAATTAACAAAAACAAAGTTTCAGATAATACAATTAGTTAAAGAATATTGAGAAAAAGAAACATGAGAAAGATCAAGAGACAAAAATTGGAAATTGTCAAATTGATGGGGACTAACAACAAGGATAGTCCGAAAAACATTTCACTCTAAGGCCCCCGCCAATTTGGAGAGGCTACAAGCCTGTCTACATGTCCTTTTTCTTTGTGGCATACAGTCCTTTTATGGTACGTAATTTGCATACTAAACTAATTCCATATAGCAACCCTCACCGTTTGACCTATATTATTTACAGGGACACATGCAAGTTACTGCAGAAGAAGAATGAAGTGTGGGGGGGGGAGAGAAATGTGAGACTGAATAGTTAATAATCATGTCATTTTTACTTTGATGAGAGTGATAGAGAAGAAATGTATAAGAAAAAACGTACAAAATGAAAACAAAAAATAAAAAACTATTTTGAGTTGTTTTCACTTTTAAGATTTGTTTTCATTCATCGTTTTTTTTCTTTCTTCCTCTCTCTCCCGTCATCGGTGGCGGAGCCAATAGGGATCATTGGTTACTCATGACCCCAATAACTTCATAACTTCAATGTACATTTATCTGTATATTTTTGTATGAACTCTATTCATAATTGCGACAAACAAAAAGAATGAGTAAAAAACACTGAATTACAAACTGATGCTTCTTTTATGCAACCCCATGTATTGTTATTTGTAGATTTTCTTCTTCTTTCCTTTGTCTTTCTTCTCCTATTTCTCATGTTCAATAAAAAACTTCACTCGATAAGCCCTCGGCAAAATCAACATAATGCGGCATAACTTGGTATGTACTCACCAGAAGCTCGACGAAATGATCCAATGAATTTTTTTTTTTTTTTTTGCTATAATTATATGACCACATTGTCATGAAATTCTAGCTGCGCCACTGACTTCACTCAATAAGCATTGGCAAAATAGACATAATGCGACATAAATTGATGTGTACTCACTAGAAGCTCGACAAAATGATACAATGAAGTTTTTTATGTTAAAATTAGATGACCCCATTTTCATAAAATTTTGGCTCCACCTCTCCGCCACTGCCCATCATTCTTATTTATATCCTTCATTTCTACCTATGTTTTCATCATATCTCAATCTCAAAAACTAAGAATAAATTAATTACTAAACGAGCTCTAATAAGTAAATTACTAAGATCACTTAATCTTAGATATTGATTGTCTGATCCTGTTTGAAAAGTGCACATTCTAGCCACAATGGAGTGCATGACTAAAGTCAGACTTCTTCTTAATTTCAACATATGAAGACCACTTGTAAAACTACCATTTTAACCTAGTCAAAGGTATGACTGAACCTTCAAGCACCCAATATAGATTTAGCTAAGGTATATGCATGCATGTTACCTTAGGGTTAAAGCAAATTGGGTTGTACTCGTCACAATCATGTGGTCACGTCCATTGTCACAAATCTGGATCGATCGATCTCCTGCAGAAAGCAACCAGTCTGCAAACCTTGGACCATCCTATTTCGCTTAGAGCTGTAGATTTTCAAGACATATATATTCATGTTCAGTACTCAATTACATGCATGAATCTCAATGGATGAGGCAACTGAACTCGTGCCATACAATATTAAAGGACCGTCATTAGTCCATTGACTATTGGGAAGTACATATTTTTCTTCCTTTTTGTTTTTGGCATCTTTGAAAAATACGCAGAAAAATTTGATGAAATGTTTAATCTCGAGCTACATAAATTTGAAGGGAGTACTAGTGTATTAGTGGCAGTTATATTGAGAAGGAGATCCCCACAATTCGTTGAAAATGACGAACAAGTGTAATTAAGGTACCGTAGACAATATAATCTGATTGTAATTTATTTTTTTAGCTTTGATACCTTTAATAATAGAATAATGACTGCAATTTCAATTGAAGAAGAAGTAATTAATTAAAAATATGGTTAGCAGCAATTATGATAATTATTTTTTCCGGAGAAAGAAGTGAATAAGGGCGAAGTAAGGATGGCGGAAAAAATGTGTATGAGTAATATTATTCCAAATGCTTTCACTTTCAAAGTTGTTTCAAACTTTCACTTTCAAGTTTTAATTTCTCATTTCTTCCAAATGCTTTCCTTTTCTTTCTAACACAAAAAATGAAAACTAAAAACTAAAAATAGAATTGGCATCAAACAAGCTCTATATATTTCTAATTCGGGCTGAAGCTATATGATTAATATTATTCAGTTAACTGCCGCATATTTAATGAGTGTTTGAGTTATAAACTTAGTTAAGAATGTGCACAATTATTATACTTGTGAGTATCATGCATGCAGCTGTGTTATGACATTGGATAGGACTGAGGGAGATGTGATATTCAAGAAATATTTAAAATTGCAGTGGGAGTGGCCTTATTGCTTACAAAAACCATTTTGTTGGACTCACTATTGTACTGTTTGTTGGTGATGTTCGATATATATCAGATGTTCAAACAAAGAAAAGTTACATTAATTGGACTATTTTTTGCTCTTATCTAACCCTAAATATATCTCCAAGACATTTATATACACCAATGAATATGGTTCTTTTAAAGATCAATCTTGATGCTGAAGAGTTTTTACTATATGCTTTGACCTCTTGTCAAAATTACACACATATATACACTTCTCCTTTTAATTAGTATATGAAATAAATTTAATTAATTGTGCAGTGGGTATTAGCCAATTAGGGATATATGTGTGCGTTATGTATACACTACATAATAGCAATATAATATCACCAAACCAAAAAGCAAGTGTATATAAGTATATATACATACATAGATTATCTTCGGTGATCATCAATATTAGTATACATGGCTTAAGGTACTAATCATGCAAGATTATTATGGTATAGTTTCAATGTTTGTTTGCAACTACCCTCCTATTAGAGTCATGTTCCTCATTTGTAATAAATATTTTGTCTGCTTCTTTCATGAATGAAATATATCTTATTCTAATAAGAAAAGAAACAGATCATTGCTTAGTTATGATAATCATTTTTATATTTCTCCAAACGTAATAACTGAAATATTTCCTTTCTTGTCTCTGTATGTGTCTGTATATTTTGTATGTGTGTGTTGTGACTGTTGTCTGAATGAATGAGATTAAAAGATGGGGTGGAATGAGATAGAGAGGAATTGGAGACATCCTCACATCCTTTGATATTATTATTAGATGCAAGGTCATAGTCATTCTTTTTTAGTGTACCTCCCATTTATTACTTTGTTTTTTGCCTTCATTCCTTCTCACATCCACTAAATACTCTACTCTTTGCCTCTTACTCCTAGCCTCTCCCCCCATTACCTTTTGTCACTACATTTTCAGCTGCTCTCTCTCTCTCTCTCTCTCTCTCTCTCTCTCTCTGTTCCCTCCAATTAGGGCTTCCTCTTTCAGGTATATCTCGCCTCCAGTAACAAATCTTTTATGCTTTCCCCTTCAATTGGCTAAGTCTAGCTAGCTAGTAGATATATTTCCTGGAAGGAGCAAAGAACACATACAGCTAGCTCTTAATTACTTGCAAGAGCTCCACAAGGGAAAGAAAAAAGGTATAAATTTCCCTTTTTATTATTCCTTTCATCAGAAGAAACACATGTAGATCCAGAAAGGTAAACATGTGTAGCTTGCCCTTTACATGTTAATTATATATATTCTACATAATTCCATACTGTGGTTTCTATTTCTTTTGGAGGGCCTGCGGAGCCTGAAGGCTAATTAAAAAGATATATAACTAGATCGATCTTAATTTTGGGTTTAGCTTAAATTAGATCTTAATTTCCATGTTCTTGGACCTTAACTCTAAGATGTGTAAACATATAACTATGATGGGTGAGTTTGCACTAGTCAGATCCCAGTTTAACTGATTAATTTGGAAATTAAGGATTTATGATATCATATGCTGATGACCCTATATAATTTGCTCACGCATTTCAGTTCTGCGTCTAATGAAGTGGCTGAGTGGATGGTGGGAGAAGAGAGAGGGGGTAAAACTAATAATTAGAAAAGACAAATTTGGAAAACGAAATTAAGGAAACATGAAGATGGCCCTGCAGGTAGAGCGATCAAGGCAGCTATCACATGTACGAAACTAAGAATTAACTAAACTACCTTAATTCTATTATTAAAAAAATGGAAAAGACTAGATGATGAGAGCCAAGAGAAATTAATTGAGAATTTCCAGATTCAAGAGATAGCTAAGTTGCATGAATTAGTAGAATATATATATATATATATAGAGAGAGAGAGAGAGAGAGAGAGAGAGAGTAAACTGAGAAAAGGGAGACGGTGGTGGTGTGGTGGGTTGGATGAGATGGATTTTTTTATTTCTTTCATATTAGTGTTTCATTAAACTCTAGTAAGCAAATAGATTATATACACACCTATTTTTGTTGTTGTTCTGATCGTCCTTGATGCATCTAACGGATCAATTATACACAAAAAGGGAAGTTAAAACTCAGAAAAATAAAGGAAAATTATATAGTAAAAGTTTCAACTGAGTTAGATTTCTAATCTAGTTGTTATAAACAAAACGTTCACACAAAAATAAGAAAGAATGAAATAAATAGTTCTTTGGTATTAAAATAGAGAAATGTTCAGTAAAATAAAATGCATACATGTTTTTTTTTTTTTTTTCGTTATCCTAAGAAATAATGGTGTACGGTGTTAATTGTTTAGAGATTAGTTTTGGTGTGCAGTGAAATATTTTAAAATGGCATCCTCCAGCTCCTCCTATAACTCTCCATGCGCTGCCTGCAAGTTCTTGAGAAGGAAATGCATGCCGGGCTGCATTTTTGCACCGTATTTCCCACCAGAGGAGCCCCAAAAATTTGCAAACGTCCACAAGATCTTCGGGGCTAGCAATGTCACCAAACTTCTTAACGAGCTCCTGCCTCACCAGCGTGAGGACGCCGTGAACTCCCTGGCCTATGAGGCCGAGGCACGTGTCAGGGACCCGGTCTATGGCTGTGTTGGTGCCATTTCTTTCCTCCAAAGACAGGTCCAGAGGCTCCAGAAGGAGCTCGATGCCGCTAATGCTGATCTTATTCACTATGCCTGCAATGAACTCACAACAACTGTGTTGCCTCCTCCTACTACTGCATCAATGGCCGGGACATATTCGGTAATTCAGCCGAATATGGATCCTCAGAGAAGGTTGGTTGATCAACCTCATCATCATCATCAGTATTACCAACAAACTAGTACCACAACTAGTAATGCTCCTGGAGTCGGTTTCCCAGTACCTTATCTTCCATGGAATGGAGGAGGAGGAGGAGGTAGTGGTGATGGAGGAGGAGAGGGCAGAATGTGATTTGAGATTTGGGGTTTTGAGGTTTTGAGGTTTGAGACCCTAGCTATAGCTCATCAAAATAATTGACAGAGGTAAATAAAATCCAATTTAGCTAGGGTTTGGTGGTGTCAGTCATGTGTGGTATACTATAGATATATGTTTATAATTTGTTGTAGTAGAACTCAGCAGGGTCTCTATGCCTAGCCTCACGTGTAGTAGTACTGCTACTGTGATCTTCTATATTTATAGCCAAATAGATGGCTTTAGTAGTTTCATTGTTTCCCAAGCATAACTTGGTGGGTTCGTTGCTAGCTGTATACCTGAATTATATATTCTTCTACCTAAATAAGGCTTTGCTTAAATCAATAATATTGGATCATCTAAATATGGCAATTGTGTCATTATAGTAGTGCAACTATACATATATGTGCAGATGCGCATGGCATGCAGGGTTGACATTCTCTGTCACAAATGAAGTGTTTATATGTACTTAATTATAACCAACAATACAAGTTTGTATAAACATTAATTAGTATTGATAATTCTTTTAATAAAACCATTGATGATCATACGGATTAAAGAGGATTATCTTGTGTGTGTGCCTAAGTATATAGATGGGGTTAGTTCTCTTTTCACCCTATATATTCTTACCATTATTTCTGCTGCTCCTTTAATTGCATGTTGTGATGAGGACCACTTCACATGTTTAAATAATTTGAGTAGCTCTCACTCATGCCGCTGGTTTTTCAATATTAAATATAATTAACCTAACTAAGCTAATCATGGTCCTATTTATCTTTTGATCACAAGTTTCATTTCATGGAGTGTGTGTGTGTCTGTAGTGTGCATTTGGCGAAGCTAGTTGAAACTTCTTAAAAGCATTAGCCTTTTGGATATTTGAAAGAGGAACAGTGTGAAATTCAACCTTTTGTGCGTGCATATTCCAACTTGTTTGAATTGTAGTGTTTATCATGTAATTGACAATGTGAATCTGTTCCTCCTCCAAATATCAATTCAATACATTATTTATTTTGTATATAGTATAAGTATAGTTGCAGAGATATCTTAAACACTAGCACGTACAGTCTCTCCCTCATTGGATCCGATACATAAATCACTGTAGTTGTTGTCTTCCAAGTACCAACTGGTACTGACTCTTTCCCTCACTCATCTGCCCCCAAAGATTACCAGACATAACAGTAAAACCTTTGATATAAAAAAGTCTCAACACGGTACTAACATTATCATACCTCTCTCTCTCTCTCTCTCTCTCTCTCTCTCTCTCTCTCTTAATATAATGATTAGGTTAATTACACTAAGCAAATGTCTAATTTTCCAGTAGGAAGCAAAAATCAAAAAATATTTATAAACCCTTCAAAGCTGCTGTTGAAACCCTGCAAAGCAATCAGGTTTTCTTTTCAAAGCAGAAATTGGGGTTAGGGTTTAAAACGAATTAACTGACGAAGTCAACGAGCAGCATATTCTATCCTTTACTCAGTAAATTAAGGGTATGGCAACAATTGATCAACTAGTGCAAAATAAGGCATCATCATATTACGATTAAACTTTCTGAGATTCGACCAAATATTGTATGATATCTGATGGAGAGAGAGAGAGAAAAAGAGAGAGACATTGATTTGAATTTCCTTATATTCTTGGACTACTACTGTGAAATTCTTTTCATTCCATTCTCTCTCTCTCTCTCTCTTTCTCTCACATGCATACATTGATATGTTTTTCGTATTCTGTAGCGGCACCAAACTTTCATCATAAAAAACACGCACACCATCTTTTTTTTCTCTCCACTTTTCTCGGTCCTCTCTCTCTCTCTCTCCCCCCTCTCTAGAACAAACAAACCCACAGGAATTTACACTCATTAAAATCAAGAAAAGTTAAACGTGTCATCTCTCTCTCTCTCTCTCTCTCTCTCTCACACATACAAAACACACATGTACACGAACAAACACAAACAGAGAGTCTGAATGAATGAACCATCTGGAGGTGGGTCAGCAGTGGTTCCAGTGAGAGTCACGTCCATTGTCCTCCAACTATAGTCGTCGCCTCACCTTTTTCTTCCTTGGAAATTTTGGGCCAACCAAATCCAATCTTCTCATCTCAATTCCACATACCCCATATTCAATAATTATTTATACTTCAACAGATGAGTAATTGGCTGGTAACCTGGTAGCCTGATACCAATATCAAGTTACAATACGTTAGAGAAAAACTTGGGTAAAGGTATCAATATCACATGATTAGTGAGTGACTTTGTCCACTGAAATAACAGAAGTAGAAGAAGAAAAAATCAAGTATATTGTATGTCACGTGGTGTTACTAGCTAATTCATTATGCGTGCCTGTTATCTTTTAACTAAGCAATGACTTGGACAACTAATCTTTCTATGTGATAGACAGGGAAGTTCTTACACTCAGGTGTTTCTTGACTAGTATACTAGTTTATTGACCAAATATAGTCAAAAGATCAATAAAAGATCAACTAAATATATATCTAACTGTTACCAGCTTCTGAGTTTGGTAAAGTAATCATCAAAACACTTTCTTACCATTTTAAATCATCTCCCAAATAACAGATTTGCAACGTAGGTATGATACTTGATCGATATAGCTACTGTCAACTGTGGGTTGAGAGGACCCCTCCGCTGTGGGGAACAAGTATGGCTTTCTGAAATCGTTGTTTGCCTTTTTTTTTATTGGGTTGGAGTTTTTTGGGTGCAATAATTATTATTTCAGAATCCATCAACCCATCAATCTTCTTCTCTGCAAAGACGTGGAAAAGAAGCAAGGAGCTGGTGAAATATGGCAGGAGAGGCTTTTTACTATTAGCTATAAAGGACAAGGAAGACAACAGGACGTGGAGCTCCTATTTTCTGCCCCCACCAAAAATTCTGCATGTTCCTACCGTTCGATTCATGAGTTTTACCGAAGAAAGTACTGGTACAGCGCTATAAATATACTCGGCGTATGTATCTTTTAACTTAGGTTGTAACTTCTTTTTCACCTTAAGGACGGCATACACAATTACAAATTACCAAATCTTGAATGTTTTGCAGATATATATAAGTTATTGATTAAAGGGTCAAGAATGATTATTAGATTAAAGAGATCGTGAACGATTTCTCTTAGAAGATTATGGAATATTAGAAGTTTGAAAGAAATTCTCAACTTTTAATGAATAATGATGATAAGATCATTAAAATACGACAATGTTGTTTAAATAGTCATAATAATATGAGAAATTTCCAGACCTTCCAAGAATTCAGAAGTTAGCGGAAAATTTTAAAAGCTAATTCTGACCTATTAAACGTAACTAAAACCTAAAAATCCATCTCATATTGTAGTAATACAACGAGTTGGAATTGTCTCGTCGTGCCCTCTAAAAGCTATCATCGGCTAGAAACGGATACCAAAAATTCAAAATATAATATTCCCGGCCCGTACAATCACTGTTAGCGTCAAAATTTGCCACGTCAATATCGATTTCTAGAGTCACAAAACAAAATGACCTTGTCAAAATCAACAATTATTAATAGGGTTGGGATTGGTGAACACTTAATTTTTTTACAACACCTTGTACTGCTTATTTCGTAATTTCATTTTAAACATATGCCTATATTTCAGTTTATCATTTATGAATTATTTTTATAAAAAAAAATTAGATAAATTAATATCTAATTAGGCATTCTTTTGTAGTGCAAAAAATGGATAAATACGATTTTGCAAAGAAACATTATAATGATTATCATTCAATCTAACGGTAATATGATTTCAGATTTAAACGATTTTTGGTATACATGATTTTTAAGAGAATACTTAAAAGATAGACGATTGGATCAATGAAATACATTACAAAAAACAAAGAGTGTTACTATTGCCACCCCTCTATCTTATTCCTACACCCACTCTTTATTAAAAAATTTAATTACCAATTTATACTCACGTAAAATGTCAAATAAGGACTAAGGGAAAACAACATCATATTGTTCACTTCCACCCACACTCCCAGCAACTCGTAATCTCAATTCCCAAACGTGTCGTCGTCACTTTATTCCTTCTAAATTTTAATTTATGTTTATTGGATCCTAAATTATTGAATCACGAATTGATCTGTGTATTCGTCGAGTTCGTCATAATACAAATCCCAAGCACACTGAATGCATCAAGCCTTATATGGATGTCATCACAGTTTCTTTCTCTACCGATTTCACTTCTTATTCTTTCGGCTTTGATTCTATGATTGGTTGAGCAACTGATTCTTCGTTCTATTGTTGCATCGCCTTCGTAGTCAACCATGGGGATCGTCGGGATGGTGGTAAAAAGTGCAGAAGGGTGGTTTGTTTTACTTCCCTCTATTTCAATCACATAAATATAATCATTTTCCTTATATTAAAATATTATTTAAATAATTAAAAAAATAGATGAGAGAACAGCCTAGAGAAGCAAAATGGATGTCGGTTTCTGTGCTTCTCATCGGTCAATAATGGCTATGGGAAGGGGTAGGATGCGGTGGTGAACGGTGTCAAGGGTGGAGATTGGAAGGGTACTTTGGGGATAATGGTGGGCGGGAAGATAGTAGGTTATTTTTCTTATTTTTTATGGTGGGTGGGATTATAACGTCGGTGTAGAAATAGGACAATGGGATGAGCCTAATATGGGTGTCAAAAATTGTGTGTTCCCCATCCTAACCCTTATTATTGAATATATGACTGCCATACACGAACACAGTGAATTATATTTCATTTCCGTTGTCAACTCATCATCTTCATTGGCACTTCTCTATTCACAAAATGTTGAATACTTATTTCTTTTCTTCATTTTAATCAGAAAAATGCCATTAGTAAAATGCAATAAATAAAGGTAGAAAAATGCCATTAAGTGAGTCAAGCTTCACTTTTGATCATGAAAGGGTGGCCCATGCAAATAATCATAGCCAATCCTATTTTCCATGCTCAATTATCCCGGTAGCCACTGTACCTAGCCATATGAACATGATGGAGAAGCTCAAAATCAAATATTATTGTAAAGATATATACCGGCGTTTTCCAGAGGCCGACATGCATATTTGCATCCTATTAAAAAAAAAATTATATATTTTGCATGCTTTCCCTTTCTTTCACTTTTTCAGTTAAAGCAGTTGATCCAACAAATATAATTAATTTCTATGGTCTTACCTAATTTTTCAAACTTATATCAGCAGCAATCAACTGGTTTGAATCTCACTTTTTCTAAATTTTCCACTAATTAAGCAATTATATGGAATGCTTCTGTCGACAGAACCATATTCAATATCTAACAGGGATGCAGAAATCGTTTTAAATTCAAAATCAAAACAAAAAAAAAGAAAAAACCAAAGGAAAAGTAAAGAAACAAGAACTAAGAGACGTGAGACCCAAATACAGTTAACATAATATCACAATTTCCAAGTTGATATATGGGATGCTTGGTTTTTACCCGTGCATCTCGAGTTTGAAACTCCCCACTCTTCCAAATTATTGAAAAAGTTTCGAACTATCTTCCCTCTCCTTAATAAAAAAAAAATGGTAATCATACACATATTTAGAGCCGCGAGTGCATCATGGCCTGAATCTAATGGATAATATATAACTACGATATTTAAGAAATTTTTTAAAATTAATCTACTAACTTTTCTAGCTAAAATAAATAAAATTGATCATAGACACACACACACGCATATATATATATATATGTATGTATATATATAGTACTACTCAATCATAGAAGTGTATTTAGGAATTTGGATACATATATCACAACACATGCACGAGGTTCTAGAAGAGGTGTGTGTATGTGGCTAACAACCACTGAATTGTAAGCACATCGATCGATCTTTACATTATTCCCTACAATGCTGGTGTTTATTTTATATGAATATTATAGGATGAAAAGTGCTTCTTGTTTCAGATTACCAATGATGGCAACCATGATCATATGGTGGCCTTCAAAGCGATTATAAACAAATAAACCCAAGATTGTGGGTTCAAGAAAAATTACACTTTCTTTGGGTACATATTCTGCCCTTGAGCAATCATTTTATCAAGTCAAACCGTAATCTTATGCCTAGATATTACACAAGAATCCCAGCTGATATATCTTCATATCTTAATCAAGAATATAAGTATATATTTCGTTATTCCAAAGTATATAACACATATCAAGTAGTGCTGACCCCTTTATAATTTATTGTTAATTAAGGGGAATTAGGAATACTAGCTCTAGACTCTAGTCGTACGTTAAGTGTTACTTTCGAATAGCTATGGATCAAATTTTGACTACGGAAAGAAACACCATTTGTAATAAAAATTGCATCAATCTAATAATATTTGAATTGTGTAGAGATTTACAAGTTTAATAGTAGATCCAACATAGTCCATATTAATAACAATAATTACTAGTTGTGAGAATGTGAGGATAAAGTCTTATATCGGTGAGGAACCAAATTATGTAAGAACTTATAAGAAGTTGGGTTGGACCCCATATTGCCAAGTGATTTTATAGTGAAACCTCAACTTTCTCCATGGTATCAGAGCAAGTTGTCACATATGTGAAACCCAACGACTACATGTGCTCCACATCACCGATTTATGTTTTTTACGTGCTAGGCTTGAAAATTCACCACATGTGAGGGGGCGTGTTGAGAATGAATCTCACATTAATAGGAGGAAGGACCATGCATAAGTTTACAAGTAAGTTAGGCTACTTCCATATTGCCAATTGATTTTATGGTAAAACCTCAACTTTTTCAGTAGCCGTTATATTCCCATTATAAAAAGAAAACACAGTAATAATTTGAGTGGTACATGAATATATTTTCGATCTTAAGGAGAATAATGTGATGCAATTTGATGTCATCAAAAGGAGAACAATGTTTTTTGACATTAAAAAAAAATAAAAAAAAATAAAAAAAGAACTATGCAAAGGTCAAGGCATGTACTGAGGGCCAAGCAGTATCTGTTTATGGATTATGCTTAAACTTGGATAATAAGTACATTGCCAAACGCAGCCCACCTACGGACTTGTGTTGAAGTAGGATCCGACCCAAATTGTATTTTCTCCACTGTGTAGCCTTCATAACAAGGAAGCGTAACTAGGGCATAACGATGATCTATCAATTCACATTTCAATAGTTGAAGGAGAGATTAAAATCCAAATTTGTGTGTTTCTAAATTGTTTTTAGATTTGAACCCAATGCTAGCAAACTTCACATATCTGAACACAATTTTATGTGCTTTCACATTTTTTTATAAACAGGTCCATCTCGTATCGATATCTAATATGAGATTCGGAAATGAAAGAGAATATGAAGTGTAGGTATTGGATTCTAAGAGATGAGAGAAGGACAACGCCGGCAATGAACAATTTTGTTTGTTTGTTTGTTTTTTTTTTTTTTTCCATTCCAATTCGTGTTTTAGGTTTTAAAACTGGGTGCTTTCGATCTGGTTAGACAACAACATCCAATGACTCATAAATCATAATATATTAACATATGAGTATTATACTAGGCTTACCATTGTTTTTTTTTTCGTTTGAAAATGAGGCTTGTTGATTTTAAATAAAACCAATTTGATGAAAATTATGGGATTTTTTTTTCCTTTTTACAAGAGATTAAAAATCATCGGTTATCGGACCATGTTTCGATATTCTTTGCAATTTCACACCAAGCTCAAAAACATGCAAGTTCCAAATGCACACTCTACAATTCCAATCCCCAATTTCACACCAGCAAATTGGAGCCTTCATACGTTCCAATTTTCTTTGGGGCTTAGGATCCTTAAGACGCCCGCTTTTTTATATATTTGGCACGTATTTTATAGGTCTTCTTCATAATGTATTTTAACGATTCGAATTACTATGTTTTAGTACATCATTCATCGATCGTCCTTACAAAAATTAGAAAAATCCAAAACCATTAGACATTCATTTATAGTGAAAAAAATATACAAATATGGTTCTACTAAGAAACACTAAATTTAATCTGACAATCATATGATTTTGGATTCGAATGATTTTTGGTAGATATGATCTTTGAAGTAAGACATAAAAGATAAACAGTTGGATCGTTAAAATACACTGTGGAGTAGGTCCACACAAACGTGTGTCAAAATATATGTCAAAAGCACGTATCCCCGAATCCTAACCCTTTTCTAGAAGACTTGAATTATTTATTTTTTAAAATAATAAGCATTCAAATGTAAATACACCTAATGTAGCAAACCTAAAAACATCAACAACCTATCAAGGCATCAATGCATCATAATGTGAATAAAATTTGGTTAGACAAACTATGTAATTCATACAGCACCTCTCTCAAAAATATAAGATTCATCCATTTTGGTCTTACTCAATCTCTGATTTTTATTAAATGTAAAATCTATCTAATTAGGGAACTTAACAGAAGTTTTTCTCTGTAATATAACACCATTTGCATGTCATTTAAAGTTAATTAAGTATGAGCACTAACTGAATTTAACTTGATTACTATGCTTACCATTGTTGAAAATAAACCAATCGGTTCATCAAACCCTATTAGATTTGGGTGTTCCTTGCCAAAAACGCACATTTCCATTTGCACCAGACCACATTATCGATCCGTCACAAATTAAAATTCTAAAAAGCAGAAACCAACGAAAGATTGATGACATATCACCGAACACTCCAGCTCCTCTCTCACCATGCAAAGCCTCACTCTCCATGCATCCAACAAGTGTCCCCCACTCCCTCCACGTGCCCCCCTCCACAGATGTCTTTCTGTTCCTTTAAAATCCAAACCCTCCTCCTTATCTTCCTCTCAGTCTCTCATTTCACATCCTCCACCGATCAACCAAACCCAGCAAACCCTAGCTCTCTCAATATCTCATACAATGGCTGATCAGCACCACTACCGCCAGCAGCAACCACAGCACCAAGGTTACCAAAGTCGCATCCAGTTCGACAACCCACAACACCAAGGTTACCAAACTCACTACCAGTATGACCAACAACAACGCTACCCCTTCGAAGTCGGGAAAAGCTTCCGTCCACAAAATGGCTCCTCAGCTTCAAATCTTTTGACAATTGCCACCCTGGTTCCAGTAGGGGGAACTCTGCTCTTGCTTGCAGGGCTCACACTGGCCGGGACCATCATTGGGCTGGCAGTGACCACCCCGCTTTTTGTTATCTTTAGTCCGGTTTTGGTCCCGGCTGTTGTGGTCGTATTCCTATCTGTGACGGGGATATTGACTTCGGGGGCTTTAGGGGTCACGGCCCTATCGTCTTTCTCTTGGTTGGCCCATTACTTGAGCCGGTCTCATCTGCCCCAGACGATGGGCCAAAAGTTGCAGGAGACAACGGGATATTTGGGCCAGAAGGTGCAGGAGACGACGGGGTACTTGGGCCAGAAGGTGCAAGAGACAGGAGACTTTGTGGGCCATAAGATGCAGGAGACTGGAGGTCAGGTGGGCCAGATGACTCAGGATGTGGGCGAGACTATCCGGAACAAAGGCCGAGGAAGTTGAAATGACCCAGGAAGCCAGGAAGGTGGCAGGGATCTAATAAACAGAAACTGGCAGGGCAAAAGAAGGCGGCCGGAGCCGCGACGGTGCTAATGTTACAGTCAGGACATGAAGATGGAGAGTTGATCATGCATATATATTATGTATATGGGTCTCAATGGCTAGTGTCTCTCTCTCTTTTGTACGTGTTTATTCTTTGGTGTCTGTGTTTGTATGTGTATATCTTTTTGGTACTTGTGTTACCTGGTACCGGTATGTACTAACCGTTTGGAGTCGATAGTTGTGGTTCTATGGATTTATGATGTAATAAATGGCCGTGCTCTTTTTTTCAGCGCTTGGTTCTTTTGTTTTGGTTGGATTATGAATTTCCAATTCTTCCTTGTCACTTGCTAATGGATTTTGATGCAACTAATTTTTGGCTTGTATCTCAAGTCATGTTTGGTGATGTTAACGTTACTCTTATTAATCCCAAGTCTATGTCTTAAGACATTCTTTATCTTCAACTACTTGCTGTTGGACATATCTTAAAAATATTTCGTGAGTAAGATTTAGCTCTGAGTACTTATCAAACAGACATTAAGATGTTGCCAATCCTCAGACTGCAGCCTATCATCATTTGAACACTTGTTCAAGTTTACAGTTCTTTATTAATGGTTTTTATTACCTAATATCTTTGGAACTTTTTTGTTGGATGTGCTTGTTATAAAATACTTTTTAAGGTGTGAGGTCATTTTGAAAAGGAGACACCACGTTTGATTTTTATTTTATTTTTTTTCATTACCATCTAAACAATTAAAAATTTAGCAATTCAAGTCATTTTTGTTTTCGGTAAAAATCCGCGCAAAAAATATAATTGGTCTGTGGTGTGGCCGGATTGCCTTTCGAAGTTGGCCTCCCACCTGCCACACTGCTACGTGGTAGTGTGAATGTCATTCTTGTGTAAATTGCTGAATACTTTAAGTAGTAATGCAAAGAAACACAAAATTGCTTTTTCGTTTTTCTTTTATACGAGCGATATTTTACACTAATTTATTTAAACGATGAGAAGGAAAATTCAAACTTAGGTGATTGAATCGTCTTTACATTTCATTTAAAATTGACCTCAAACATAGTATAAAATGACAAAGCATGTAAAGCCAAAACCAGAAGCTATTCTTACTCACCTCATTTCCAATGCCAAAGATCATTATTTCAGCGTGGAAATGGCTCCTTCAAACCAAAAGTTCCATTTTTTCTCAATTCTCCTGACCACTTTGTTCCACACAAATGTTCTCTCAGACAACACTACTGGAATAAGTTCACTCTATTTGTACCCTTTTCCTTGCTCTACTTCTCACCACACCCAGACTTGCAATTCCTCTCTATACCACGTCTCAAAAGGCCACACAACGGAGGAAATAGCCACCTTTTACTCAGTAAACCCATCCAACATCCACCCAATTGTTCATGACAACCAACACCCACAAGACTATCTTCTTTCTGTTCCTTGCACTTGCAAGAACATAAGGGGCACCCAAATTTACCTCTATGATACAAATTACAAATTACCTAGTGAAAGAAGGAGACACTGTTGGAAATGTGGTAAGTGAGTTTTACAGTGGGCAGGTAGTGAAAATTGGGGGAGAGGAGCAGCTATTTACTGTGGGAAACATGACTACTTTTCACCTTGTTTGTGGGTGTGTAGAGAAAAAATCACAGGAGGTTGTGACATACACAGTTCAAGATCATGACACTTTATCAGATATTGAAAAACTTCTCTCTGCATATGAGAGTGAGATTCAGAATTTGAACAAAAACTTCATCAATCCCCTAATTTTATAGATGTTGGGTGGGTTTTGTTTGTGCCAATGGAGCTCAATGGACTTCAAGCCCAGCAACAAGGTAGTGCCTCTTTTTTTTGCTTCAAAATCGTAACGAAATCGCTATTGACACACCAAAATAGTCATACTTCACTCTTTGTTCTTCGATATTTCTATTAGGGGGAAGTGAATGATGACTATTTTGAAGTGTCAATTACAACTTCTTGTCATAAATGCTCATTTTCTTTAAATGAAGTACGATAAATTGACCAATTTTCTCGGTCAAACCAGGGAAGACACTCAGTTTGGCTGCAATTATAGGCATAGTGTCAGCTGTTGGGTTTCTTTTGGTGGCGACATTCTTCATATTTCTTCTCATAAGATACAGAAAAGGTAAGAACACAGAAGAAGAAGAAGAAGAAGAAGAAGAAGAAGAAGAAGAAGAAGATGTGAACCAAAATGCCAAAAAGCGCTTTTCAATGAAGCAACAGTTTTTCAAAAGGCAAATGGAAGGTAAGACAAATATCTCAACTCCATCAGAAAACAATTTTATTGGGTTCACTGTTAGAAGTTGGTATAGAATCCGAGAAGGGTTCCTAACTGGTGTGGGAGTTCTAATTGTAATAGGTATGGGAAACTTGGACGCAAGTTTCAGATAGGTTTAGGATTCCAACTCAGTTTGGATTAGGTTTGATTTAGTATAAAAAGGGTCCTTAACGTTAGGGTAGAGTTAGAGTGGATATAGTGTGTGAGAGACTTATGTGACAAGAAAACTATTTGTATGTGTGAGTTTTCTTGTAGTCCTTTATTCAATCAATAAAGAGTGCTTCCGTTGTTCATGTTTTCTGTTATTGGTTTGGTTTGATCGAAGAGTAAGTTTCAACAAGTGGTATCAAGAGCCTTAGGTTGCGTGGTCAAATCAAAACGATGACAAAAACTGAAAGTGGAGATGATAGGGGTACTGAGGTAACCAAGACTTCGGTGCAAAGTGCTCGGTTTGAGATCGAGAAATTCATTGGGACAAATAACTTCGCTATGTGGCAGTGCGAAGTAAAGGATGTACTGATTCAACAAGGTTTACTGGTGGTGCTTGATGACATGCCTATAACAATGAAGAAGGAGGAATGGCAGCGGCTGAATGCACATGCATGTTCCACGATTAGACTATGTCTTGGAAAAGCACAAAAATATGGTGTAATGAATATCTCATCAGCTAGAGAACTATGGGATACGTTGGAATCAAAGTACTTGAAGAAGAGTGCAGAAAACAGACTTTATCTTAAGAGTAAATTGTATCGTTTTCAGTACAAGGAAGGAACTAAGATGATTGACCATCTTGAAGAATTTAACAAGATGATTGCTGAACTTCTGAACCTAGAAGAGACGATCAAAGATGAAGATAAAGCGTTGATTCTGATGAATTCCCTACCTGAATCTTACGAGTCGTTTGTTACGACATGGATTTATGGTAGAGAAACTCTTAAGTTTGATGAAATCTCAAGCGCAGTGATGAATCATGAAGTCCGCAATTTAGACAGACAAGAGAGAAGCAATTCCGAAGCACTAATGGTAAGAGGAAGATCAAAGGAAAGAAAACCAGCATTTAAGAAGAAAGGCAAGTCTCGTTCGAGAGGTGCCTCAAGCAACAGAAAGTTTCTCGATAAAGATGAGTGCGCCTTCTGTCATGAGAAAGGGCACTGGAAAAAGGATTGTCCCAAAATCAGATCCAAGAACAAAGAGAAGAAATATGAAGACTCAGAGGCAAACATTGTCGAGGCTAATAATGAAGATTTCGTCTGTGCCCTAACTGCATCAGACGGAATAAATTATATGAATCACTGGGTGCTTGATACTGGATGCACGCATCATATGACCTCTCAACGTCATTGGTTTTCTTCGTTTAAGACCCTCACTGGAATGGTATATATGGGGGATGATAATCCATGTGCAACGAAAGGAATTGGTAGTGTTAAAATCAGACACCATGATGGTGTAGTCCGAGAGCTACAAGGGGTGAGATATGTCCCAAATCTTAAGAAGAATTTAATCTCGCTTGGAACTCTTGAAGATCAAGGTTGTAAATTCTACTCAGAAAAACAAACATTAAAGGTTGCAAGAGGAGCATTAGTGATAATGAAAGCGCCAAGAAGGGGTTTGCTTTATTTGTTAGAAGGCACCACTATTGAATCTCCGATGGCTATGGCAGCAGCAAGTGATCAATCAGATACATCTTGTCTATGGCATATGAGGCTAGGGCACGTGGGAAACAAGGTATTGCAAGGATTGATTAAACAAGGGGTCCTAGAGGGAGCCAAAAGTGGGAAGATCGATTTTTGTGAACATTGTATCCTTGGCAAACAAACCAAAGTAAGTTTTGGCACGGCAATACATCAAACGGAGGGTATCCTGGATTATGTACACTCAGATGTCTGGGGGCCTGCGAAGAATGAATCCCTAGGAGGAAAGAGATGGTTCGTATCCTTCATTGATGATTATTCACGAAGAGCATGGATTTATATGATGAAGCACAAACATGAGGTGCTGGATATTTTCTTAGAATGGAAAAACACAGTCGAAAGGAAGACTGAGAAAAAATTGAAAGTCTTAAGAAGTGATAATGGGGGAGAGTATACGTCTGATCCCTTCTTTGAAACCTGCAAAAGGGAAGGTATAACACGACATTTCAGTGTTAGAGAAACTCCTCAACAGAACGGAATTGCAGAACGGTTGAATCGAACACTGTTAGAAAAGGTCAGATGTATGCTGTCACAAGCAAAACTGCATAAACGTTTTTGGGCAGAAGCATTGAGTTATGCATGTCACATTCTAAATCGTCTTCCTTCTTCAGCCTTAAACGGAAAAACTCCAATGGAAGTATGGTCAGGACAAATTGCTCAAGATTATGACAGACTAAGGGTATTCGGGTGTGATGCGTATTACCATGTGAAAGAAAATAAATTAGACCCGAGAGCAAGGAAGGCTATCTTTCTAGGGTTTAACAGTGGCGTCAAGGGATTCAGGTTGTGGAGTACAGAACTCAAGAAGGTTGTAGTAAGCAGAAATGTGACATTTAATGAAACCCATATGCAACTAAGAGAAGATCGGAAGATTGTGCAAGAGGTGGAGCTAGCAAAAGAACAAACTGAACATTCAAGAGATGAAGACAAACTCGACAATGAGGATCAAATCAATGTCGATCAAGAAGAAAAACAAGAAGAGGACAGTATGATTACTGATGTACCAGATCAAGAAGAGTGTATCGCCAAGAGAAAAGGAAAAAGGGAGGTTGGGCTTCCTGCTAAATTCAAAGATTGCGTCTCCTGTATAGCCTATGCATTGACAGTAATCGAAGTAGACATCCCTATATATTTCACAGAAGCATCAAGGAGTAAAGAAGCTAAAAATTGGCATGAAGCTATGGATGATGAGATGTTGTCACTAAAGAAGAACAAAACTTGGGATCTGGTGGAGCTACCTAAGGGAAGAAAGGCCATTGGATGCAAATGGGTGTATGC